CATGCCTCTTTAAATTGGTCTGCAGAGACCTCATTAGAAAGAATAGTGAATTAAGGCTCCAGTTACCTATCAAAAATATCCAGAGTTTGCTTCAGGAGTTGTTCTTTTTTAAAATATGTTATGATTCTGAAGTCTTCTAGCCAAATGTCAGATCCTGAATAATCTTAGACATGTTTCTTAGCTTGTCTCTCCCCTCCATGAAAAAAATTCTGCATTGGAGCAAACATAAAGCAAAATGAAGCTTGGCATTTTGTGTGAGGAGGAGAACATAATACTTCATTAATACTGTAATCCACGGACATGCTGGGCAAATTAAGCTCTCTTGCTCCTCATATTCTCTCATATGCTCATGTGTATGCTTTACATGGGATCAAGAACACTGGAATATCTAGTTTCTTGCTGAAGCACAAAGTCTATATATGAGAAGATGCTTTCTTTCAAATATAATGATGCTCACATGAGAAAAACACTGTTAATAGGGTGTAAGGCTGCCTAACCATGTTGTTGTTTCCAGATTCAACAAGGACTAAATAGAGCATTAGTGAGCTCAGTATCTGTCTCAGGAGCTCACTAATAATTAACTGTTGAGCCTTTTCCATTAATTTCCCCATGTCTGCTTGTCTGAGTGTTAAATCAGACTGTCAATCTGCCTGTGAAGAGGGTTCCAATACTCTCATTAGCACAAAATGCAGCTGCCAACATGTTGACAATGACACCTCCTCCGCACTTTGTCTCCCCAGTACTAAAAGAGTTTCACTGGCTGATTATTTAATTCCAAATTCCAAATGCCGGCAGTTACCTTTTTCAGTGCCCCAAATTGTTTGGGTCCAAGTTCCTCATGGATCACCTTTTCCCATTTGATCCTGATTACACTGCAAGGCATGGGTAGGCAACCTGGTGCCCTCTAAATATTTAGGACTATGATTTCCATCAGTCCCAGCAAGCAAAGCCAATGATCTGGGCCTATGGGAGTTGCAGTCCAAAACAACTAGAGGGCACCTACAGATTCCTATCCCTTTTCTGAAGTGACTGGCAATTGTCCTTTTCCAAGCCTTTCTGTCTGGAGATGAGATTCATATCAGATGGAAGGAGATGAGATTTAGCAGAGATGGTTCCAACAGTATACTGCTCTCCCAGATGCCCCATCGCTGCCGTTATAATTATTTGTTCTTACATATTAAGTTTCTATTCTCCCTTTCTAGTCTCTCGGGCATTTTAAATATTGTTTATGGTATGCCTTGCTCTTGCTGTAAGATGTTGAATGCAGGCTCACTGAGGAGAAAAGGTGGAAACTCAGTTCACAGATCTCTAGGAATGTATAGTTTCTCTCTCTCTCTCTCTCTCTCTCTCTCTCTCACAC